AAATGCAACACTGGCTTCCATGCAGCTGCAAGTGTCAGTCTGCCCTGGAACCAAAACCAGCGACTGCACTCTCCTGCAAGTGACCATAACCAGTCCTTTCCCTCCCAGAACCCAGAGCAGGAACTCTGCTTCTGTGTGACCGCGCTCACCAGCTGTGCTCGCTCCTCTTTGCCCAGAGCCACAGCCTGGGACTGAGTCAGATTAGCACACCAGAGCCCCCATCCCAGTGCCAGCAGAGGGCCCCTGCATTCCCCTGTCAGTCACTTGACTCCCATACCATGTATGGGGTGAAAGTTCTGGAACCACCAGCCGACACCAACACAACTACCCCCAAGACTTGCTGTTTGTTGATGTAGCAGTATCTGCACTTCATTCCTGGTCAGACCACCCTAGTAGGTCAGGTCCTTCCTAACATCCTCCTAAGTTGTCTCAGGCTGGATGACTGCTTTACCCCAACCTTCTACTATTTCTGCCCCTCTAAGATTCCATGTTTGAAGTTTTTTGGAGGGGAATTTAGGAGAGTCAGGTCATTTCCTGCCTTATTCCACCACATTCCCACAATGTCAAGCACTTTATTCTGTATTATTAATATTTTCTCCCTCACTTTCTTAAGTCTAGACAATCAACAAACAATAAATCAAGCTCTACTCTATAGCCTTTATCAATTTCTGAGGCATAAATCTCACACTGATCATTTAGCAAATCAGTTCTTGGAGCTGGTACTAGAAAGCTCTAGCACATTCCTGCAACCATCCTTTTCCTGTTCATAGCCTGCTATATGAGTGCTTCAATAGCCAGAAAAACCTTTCCCAACACTGCCACCTGCTGACCATGGTTGGAATTTCCTCCTTATTCCAAATGGAGTCCAGATTCAATTTAATTCAAGAAACTATGTGTCTATTATGTGTAAGGCACTATGGTAGGTACTTAGGAAACAAGGACAAAAATGAAACACTCCCTTCTCTCAAGGAGTTCACATCCAAAAATGAGACAGAAGAAGGGAATATAACACATTCATAAATAATTCCATTCAATTCAACACACTAATCAACAGGCAACTGAAGACACAAAGGCAAAAAAAAAAAATGAGACAGTCTCCACCCTAAAGGAACTTATGTTTTACTGGGGGAGAAAACAACATGTGTGTTTTTATGTATATGCATATGTGTATATACATGCATAAATAAAATATAGAAAGAATGAATACAAAATAATTGGTGAGGGGAGTGCAGAATAGTAACAGCTGGATAGATTTGATAAGACTTCCTGTAGGAGGTGGTACCCAAGTTGTTCTCGGAAGGAAACTGGGGAATCTACAAGGCTGAAGTAAGGATGTAGAGCATTCCAGTCATGAAGGACCACCTATACAAAGGTACAAAGGTAGGAAATGGGATATCACGTACTGAGTACAGGGAAGTAGGTTAATTTGGCTAGACCGCAAGCAGATTTCAGGAAGGGAAAAAGCATTAAAACCTGAGAAGATCAGGAAAGGACTCCTGTAAGAGGTGGCATCTGAGGTGAGCCATGAGAAAAGACAGGGATTCTAAGTGATAAATATAAGTAGAGAAGCATGAGATATGATCTATGCATAAGCACAAAGGAGAATAATAATAATAATAATAATAACAACAACTAGCATTTTAAGGTTTGCAAAGTACTTTACAAATATTTCATTTGAGCTTTACAACAATCCTGGGAGGTAAGTGCTGTTATTATCCCCATTTTACAGATGAGGAAACTGAGGCTGAGAGAGGGCAAATGATTTGCACAGGGTCACCCAGCTAGTATGAAGTTAGATCTTTCTGATTCTAAGTCCGCACTCTTTGAACGGAGCCACATTGCTTACAAAATAGATATTTAATGCCGAGTTGGAGACTAGCATTAGGGCCAGTTTGGCTATAATGTAGGGAATATGGAGAGAACTAGCAAAAAATAAGCCTGGGAAATGGGTGGTAGTCTGTACCTTAAGCAAAAGGAAAACACTGAAGTGTTTGAGCAGGGGAGTGATATGGTGAGACCTATGTCTTAGGAATTTTAATTCAGATGCTGCATGGGAGTGGACTGCAGGGAGGAGGGACTGGATGCTGGAATACCAATTAGGAAGCCACTGCAATTGTCCAGGCATAAAATGATAAAGACTTAATCAAATTATACCACTGCAATGCTTCTGACATAAGAGTACTGCAATCCAGTCAGACATAAAGTAACAGGATTTTATAAGTTACAGAATTACTAAAGTTCAAAGTTGGAAAGGAATTTAATGACAAGTTAGTCCCGCTTCTATCTGCAAAGGAACCTCTTCTACACACTACTCATCATCATCTGGACTTTGCTTGGTGGCCTCAAGATGAGGGAGAACCTATTGTCTTCCAAGTCATTCAACTTTTTGGGTAGCTCCATTAGTAGGAAATACTCAAGTCTGAGTTTGCTATATGCAACTTCTACACATTGCTTCCAGTTATAATGAGGAAGAAATATTAAGCAGTGTTTTGAAAGAGATAACGAAGTCTGGGATATAACTAAGGAATAGCATAGACAATGGGAGAACTTGGTTGCACAAACCAGAAGTTGGCTGGGATTCAGGAAACCAAAGAATTTCCTGTGTGAGTAGAAAAAATGGAATAGATACAGGAAATGTTGTGGAAGAATACTGGACAAGTCTTGGCAAATAATTAGCTGTGAGGGAGGGCAAAGGGAGTAAGGAGAGTCAAGGATGGCCCCAAGACTGGGAACCTGGGCGGCAGGAAAGATAGTAGGACACCTGACAGAAATAGGGAAGTTTGGAGGAAGGATGAATTTCAGGGGAAATATGAGCTGTGTTTTTGACAGACTGAGTTTGAAATGTCCATAGGGCATCAAAGTAGACATGGTAAAATTAAAATTTAGGAGAGATTAGCACTGGATAGATAGATTTTGGAGTCATCTGCACAAAGATGATAACTGAACCCAAGGGGGCTGATAAAATCACTGAGAGAGTCACTGTAGAGAGAGAAGACGGTCCAGGACAGAGCCGGGGGGATGCTATACTTCAGGGGTGAGATATGGATGATAATCTGGCAAAGGAGACCAAGAAGAAGCAGTCAGGAGGTGGGACGAGAACCAGGGCATAGCTGTGTAACAAAAGTCAAGGGAGGAGAGACTATCTGGGAATAAGAGGTCAATCAAAATGAGAACTTGGAAAAGTCCTTTAGATTAACAGTTAATAAATTATTGATAACCTTGAAGATGGCAATTTCAGTAGAGTGGTGGGATTAGAAGCCAGATTGCAGAGGGGTTAGGAATGAGTAGTAGGTAAGGAAATGACGGCAATGAGTATAAATGTCCCTTTCTGGGAGTTTGGCTGTGAAAGGATGTGAAGATGAAGAATGAAATGAGGGATTCTCAAGGTCAAGTAAAGACTTTTTTAAGGATAGGAGAGGCCTGGGCACAGTTGTAGGTAGCAGGGAAGGAGTCAGTGGATAAAGACATATTGAAGAAAAGAAATAAAAGGTGAAGCAATCAAATGGACAAGCTCTCAGAGGAGATGAGAGGGAGGGGATTCAACGTACAAGTGGAGAGGCTGACGTTGGCAAGGATAAGCCTACCTCCTTCTTAGAGACTACAGCAAAGGAGAAAAAAACTGGAGAATGATGCAAAAAGGCCTTCAGGTGTGGCACAGGGCAGAAAAAGAACTCATTTTCTCAATAAAACAAGAATCCAATAGTGAGCTTTCAGAGAGAAGGTTTAGAATAACCACTATGAAAAGCACAATAGAGGATCAGTCTCAGAAGATCAAAAAGGATTGCCATGAAACTAGGACAGCCCAATTGAGATTAAATGACATAAATCTGTAGCGGACACTGTTGGCACAGTGTTATGACTTTTCCCCAAAAGCAGCATGTAAGTGGGAGTGGAGGAAGATGGCAGGGGTAACACCCAGGACTAGGGTTTGGCAAAGCATTACTTGTGATAGGATGAGGAGGACAGATGTGGCAAGGGTAGAGCATAGTGTATCAAGATTGTGATGGGAAAAAAAAAGATTGTGAAGGGAAGAAAATGAGGCCAGAGCCATGGTGATGGACTGGGAAAACAGGGAGGAGTCAGAGAACTGGAGGTCATGGTAAAGATGAAGAATAGATATAGGAGGAATGAGAAAACCATGAAAGGGTAGGAGCTTGTGATTTGAGATAATTTCAGAGTTATAGATCAGGGGAGTAGCACAGTTATGGGTGATGGTGGGATCAAAGACATGACTGACCTACCTGAGGGTTGCCTGAGTTCACAGAGTAAAGCTGAAGTTCATAGATGATGAACTGAGAAGCTTAGGTGTTCTAGGGGCCATCCTCATGCAATCCTCTGTACTTGTTAGTATGTTAAGGTACAGAGGAAGACTATGATCCAGGTACTAAATTCCTTGAGAAACGAAGGAAAATTACATGGAGGTCAGCAAATGACTTTGACAAAGATCTGGATTGGGCAATATGGATGAGTTGAGGGAATCTCCAAAGAAGAGAGATTACTAAGTGATGGCAGCAGAGGAAGGGTCTGGAAAAGGTAGCAGACAGCAAGGAATATGTCTGAGAACAAGAATTCCCAATAGTGGGGAGCACTGCCAGGGATGCAAGGTCTTCAGAGAAAGAGGGTGAGAAAGAGGGAAGTCTCATTCCAAGCTCACAGCTCAACAATGCCATGGATCCAATGTCTGGTTAGGTGCCTGTCCCCTCCATCTACATGGCCTCATGTGGGGTTTTCAGGGAGTGGAAAGAAGGTAAAAAAAGAGACTGAGACAGCCATGGGGATGGATGGGGAGAAAGCTGAGAGGACTCTGCCTTGGGGGCTGTAGCCTCAGGGGAAGAGGCAGCTGAAGTCAGAGCTCTAGACTCTTTGCCCAGGCTGCTCAGGGAAAGCACCCTGCCCTGAGCCAGGACTGCAGTTGGGCACAAAGGCTATTTCCCCCTCTGTTTCTCTATCTACTTGGGACTCAGTTCTCTCTCCTAACTTAGGGACTCCAAAGTACTCACCTGATGACAGAGAGCTACGGGCGAGTTTCATCAGAAGCTGGTCCAGCTGATGGAAACTCTGGAAAACCTCAGCAGAGTGAGCCCGATCGCGGGCCTGGCTAACTGGATCATCACCCTCAGTGCCATACAGCGTCAAGTAGCCGGCTCTGGTTGGCATAGCAACATAATAGTATGAACTAAACTTCATCCTCACTCTGGGTCAACATGCACCTCTAAAGCCCTTTGGCAAATCAAAAATCAAACGTTGCACCATGTCTTAACACTTTATGTTCTAAGGTCCCTTCTAGCTCTGGCATTCTATGTTCAACATTCTAAAGTCCCTCGTACCTCTCAAATTCTCTGTTTTCTGTGCTAGGTTCTCTTCCAGCTCTAACACGCCATTTTTTTTCCTTCTAGGGTCCCTTCCAAACCTGACATTCTATGTTTTCAGTTTTAAGTCCCTTCCAGCTCTAACATTCTGTTCTATGTTCTAAGGTCTATCTCCAACTTTGGAATTCTATGTTCTAAGGCTCCTTCTAGCTCTAACATGTTATAGAAAATCACAGAATTTAAAACTGGAAGGGACCTCAGAAATCATCTAGCCCAAACCCTCTCATTTTACAGGAAACTGAGGTTAAGCATAAGGAAGTGATTTACCAAAGCCCCTTCTAAATCTAAGATTCCATAAAATGGTAATACATCCCTTATATAGATATGGTGACTTCAACTTTTCAAAAAGCTTCTATATCTACCCTCTCATTGAATGAATACACAAGCCCTGCTTTCCATTTCCCTTCCCAGTTACCTATGTTGTCAGGTTACCCTTGTCTACAAGGATGGGGATGAATTAGGAAGAAACTCACCTGAGCATCACATCGTAGGAGAACTGGAACAGCCCTATTTCCTGCCAGTCTGTGCCCGTTTCCCCTATATCCTTCAGAAGGATGTTGCAAAGATTGTTAAACATGGCCCCAGTGAGGGCCTGCAGGTTCTTGTGGAGCAGGGTCCTGGGGAAGAGGGAAATCACAGGGCTGAACTTGGCTCCAGGAGCCCATTGATGACAATCCTAAGAATGATCATGGCCTATTTCATGCTGCTTTCTAGTTTAAAAGCACTTTTACATCCATTATCTCATTTATACCCCACAATAATCCTAGGAGGGAGGCAGAAGAGGGATTATTCTCCCCATTTTACAGATGAGAAAACTGAAGTTCAGTAAAGGGAGGTGACTCACTGATGGTCACATTGCTAGTAAGTGGCCGAGTGGGACTTGAACCCAGATCTCCTGACTCCAGGTCCAGTGCTCTTTTTTTTGGAGGAGGGGTGGATAGGGTAATCAATCATTGAGCAACTATCTATTGTACTGGGCACTGGGGATACAAAGACCCATAGGAGATACTAAATGTGGAGTAGATACAAGAAGGCTTCTCTCCCTTTCCCAATCCCAGACTGATCATTCCTCAGACACTCACGGTTTCATCTTGGCTTTCTCCAAACCAGGATCATAGTTGGTCAGCTGAACATCAAAAATCTTCTCCATGAGGAAGACCGCATATTTGTGGAAGTCCAGCTTGGAGCTGGACTCCCAGACGACCGTATCATACGAGTGAGGGTCTAGGAGGACCGTGATAAACCTCCCTGCCACGAGCACCTGGGGAAGTCAGTGCAGTCAGAGATCAAGTGAGTACAGGATTTGTAGTTAGAAGACATGCTTGGAGACCATGTAGTCCAACCTGCTCATCTTACAGGTGAGGAAACCGAGACTTAGAAATGGGCAGTGACTTGTCCAAGATTACACAGGGTACCAATGGCAGGTGCACAATTCAAACCCAGCTCCTGTGCCTTCAAATCCAGTGATCTTCCTTTCATACTGTGCTTCCTCTCCTGGGTTAGTTCTTCTCCTCTGTTAGTATTTAGTGAGACACACTGAGATAGAGAAAAGAGGGAGAAAGGAACTGTGCCCTTGCTAGACATTTCAGGATACTTGCCACAGCAGCTATCCCAAACCTTTTTTCTCCTTAAGCCTCCCATATTACCCTCTGCTTAATGCTCTTAGTCAATGGACAACCTCACCTAATAATTTACTGAGAAAATAGAAGCCATTCTAGGGACAGCTAGGTAGTAAAGTGGATAGCGTGTGGAACTCAGGAAGACCTGAGTTCAAATGCAGCCTCTTATTAGCTGCACGATCCTGGGCAAGTCATTTAACCTCTGTGTCCTTCGATTTCCTTATCTGTCAAATGGAGATAATAATAGCACCTACCTCCCAAGGTTGTTGTGAGGATAGAATGAGATAATGTTTGCAAAACACTATATTAATGCTAGCTATTAGCTAGAATTAGCACTTTCTCTCTCTCTCTCTCCATCTCCCTCTCCCTCTCCCTCTTCCTCTTTTCCTCCCTCCTTACATCTTCAGTTTCTTCCTATCTTCTAATTATTTTCCTGCTGCCTACAAATACAGCTAAGTCTCTCTCCCATCCTTAAAAAGCCTTCATTTGAGTTTACCATCTCCTCAAGCAATTAGCATCCTGCATCTGTCCTCCCCTTCACAACCAAACTCCTAGAAAGCTGTTTCCCCTCTTGTGGCCTCTTTCTTTCCTCTCACTTTTCAACCCTTTGCAATTTGGATTCTGACCTTAGCACTCTACTGAAACTGCTCTCTCCGAAGTTACCAATGATCTTTTTATTGCCAAATCTAAGGACCTTTTTCACAGTCCTCGTCCTTCTCAATCTCTCTCTCCCCTACATTTAACACTGTTGACGACCTGTTGACTACTGCTGGACAAATCTCCTCTCTGGGTTTTTGTGACACCGTTCTCTCCTGGCTCTCCCCCGACCTCTCTAACCACTTCTGATTCGGCACCTTTTCTGAGTCATCATCCATGTCATATCCCCTCACTATGGGTATCCTCTAAGGCTCCCTTTTCTCTTTTCTCTCTCTAGATTCCTGGTAACTTCTTCAGCCCCCATGGGTTTAATTTTATCACCTCGATGCAGAAGACTCTTAAGTGACAATTGATACAACTACATAGCTATTCAGACCTACCTCGTATTTTGAAATAGATGTCTGATAGGCATCACCAACTCAATATATCCAAAACAGATTTCATTATCTTTCTCCCCAAACACACTCCAATTCTTGACGTTTCTATTTCTGCCAAAGATGGGAGAGTGATGCCCTTTGGGTCACTTTGACTCCTCCCTCTCCCTCACTCACATCCGTATTTCCAAGTTGGTTCCCAAATCTCGCTGTTTCTACTTCTCTCTCCTCACACAACCAACCAACTTAATTCAAGTCATCATCACCCCTCCTGGATTCTTTCAAGAGCCTCTAAGTCATCCTGGATCAAATTCCGCCCCCACTTGCCCCATCCATCTTCCACACAACCTCCATGTTGATTTTCCTAAAGCCCTTAAATGCCAGTGCCTTCCAATTAACTCTAGGATCTAATACAAAACTTGTCTCTTTGGCATTTAAAGACATTCACAACCTGATCTCAACCTATGTTTTGTTGTTGTTCTGCCATTTTCTATCACGTCCTACTCTTCATGACCCCACTTGGGGTCTTCTTGGCAAAGATACTGGAGTGGTTTGCCATTTCCTTCTTCAGTTCATTTTACAGATGAGGAAACTGAGGCAAACAGGGTTAAGTGACTTGCCCAGGGTCACACAACTAGTGTCTGAGGCCATATTTGAACTCAGGAAGAAGATGACTCTTTCTGACTCCAGGACTTTACCCACTGCGCCACCCTTTACAGCCTACCTGTACAGCCTTATTGTACATTACTCCCTTCATGCACTCTCTGCTCCAGCTGTACTAGCCTTCTTGATGCTCTTCACACTCAATACCCCATCTCCCACCTCAGTGCCTTTGCACCGGCTGTTCCCCATGCCTGGAACGCCCTCCTTCCTCATTTTCACATTTTAGAATCCTAGTTTCCTCCAGAGCTTAGCTCAAGCTCCACCTTCTACAGGAAACTTTTCTTGATTCCTGCAGCTACTAATCTCCTCCAAAACATTACATTGTACTTGTTTTGTATACATTTTTGACACATTATTTCTCCTGATAGAATGTAAGCACAGTCTGTTTCACTTCAGTCTTTGTAGCCCTAGTGCCCGGTACAGTGCCTGGCACTATGAGAGGCATTCAATAAATGCCTGTTGATTTCTTGATCTCATGGTGAGACCTTGGCTAACCCGCTCTTCCTCTCTAGCTTCAGTTTCCTCATTATCAAATGGAGGGGAGACTACGTGAACCCTTGAGGTCCTTCCAGCTTTGATATTCTATGATTCTATGAAAGAAAGGCTTATACCATGATCTCCTAAAGTCAAGTGAAGGTCAGTAGCGAATTCCTGGGGTGGAGATATCACAGGCATTGAGAAGCTGGGTAGTTCAGTGGATGGCCCACTGGACTTCAAATCAAGACCTTGGTTTGAATCCTGCTTCAGACACTTACTAGCAGTGTGATAAGTAATTTAACATTTTTTGAGCCTCAGTTTCCTTATCTATAAAACTACAGAGGTTGGCCTTGACTTCATAGGCCTCTTCCAGCTCTAAAACTATGATCATACAAGCCTACAGAACAAGGAAATAGAGTTCTGAACAGTTGCTTAGCATCGGTGAGAGCAAATTGCTGGCAACATGAGTGGGATGAAGTGACCTCTTCCACATCTCACAGAAAAATAGATTTGGAAAAGTCATCTAGTTCAACTGCCACCAGGGGCAAGAGTCCTCTCTACAGAATCCAGTCTTCACTTGAATACCTCCTATGATGAAGATCTTATTCTCTTCCATCATCCAATCTGATTCTGAACCTCCTAGGTTCCTTCGTCCCTCCCCTTCTTGGCTTTCATGATGCTAAGAAGGAGAAAAAAACAAACAAACCTGTAGCTTCCTTCTTGGGCAAGTTTTTCTTGTGGCAAAGAGGGGTTGCAAGAAGGAACAAAAGAAAGGTCATGAAAGTCCTGTGGTGGAAATAAGATATCCACTTGAAAATACTGATTTCAAAAGCCTTGGTTAAGGACTCTCCAGTTACTGAATAATTAACACCCAGAATGGCCATATGAAAAGGCCCTTGAGAATGAAACTGGTTTGGTGTGGCTGGGTCCTTGGCTAATTATAATAATAATAATAATACCCCAGGTTTGTGCAGCACCTAAGAATGTATCAAGCCCTTTTATAACCACCATCTTGGGCCAGCTAGGTGGTACAGTGGATAGAACACTGGCCCTGAAATCAGAAGGACCTGAGTTCAAATCTGGTCCCAGACCAAACACTTAACACTTACTTTCTGTGTGACCTTGGGCAAGTCACTTAGCCCCAACTGCCTAAAAACTAAAAAAAATTTTTTTTTTTAATTAAAAAAAAAATTATAGCTACCGTCTTCACAACAGCCCAACAAGACAGACAGGGACAGGACCGGGACTATTTCCATCCAACAAATGAGTTAAACTGAGAGCCAAAGAAGCGACGTAGGCCCTGCCATTCTGAGTCTGTGGCCAAGGCTGACAATACCCCAAGTCTTGTGACTCACCATGCTTCAGAGGAAACAGTACTATGTGAAGAGTCCTGAGGATACGAGGCAGGAGGGCCCAGTTATAAAGAAAAACACCCCAGTCCTACCCCTTCCCACCCTTCCTAAAAGCACACTTACAGTAAAGATGTCCCCATGCTTCTTCTCCATCCTGGAGAGGAATCCAGCTGCATCTTTGCCAAACTCTGAGGCATGGCCCAGCCAGGGAATGAGGCCGGAATCCAGAGGGGGCTCCCCAGGTCTCCTGGAAAACCCAGAATGTAATAAGCACCCAGTGAGAGGGGACAGACAGTGAGACAACTCCACAATCATCTGTTAAGGGCCTACTAGAGCAAGAAACTGGAGACATCAAAATGATAAATGACATAGTTCTTGCTTACCGTCTAAAATAGGCACCATGGTAAAGACATGTGTTCAAATACCAGGTACACAATGTGTTACCTGTGTGAACTTAAACAAGCGACTTTGCCTTAACCAGTCTTAGTGTCCTCAACTGCAAAGTAACAAGGTTAAAGTAGGGTTTTAAGGTCTGAATCCTATGATCCTATTAGAATCCTGGAGAGCAGAAGGGGATAAGACATTAAAGCCAGAATGGAAACAGAGCAAGCCAATTAAAACAGAGCCCTAAATTTAGCAGAGAGAAAGGGACACCAATAAGGTAAGACACCAATAAGGAGACCACCTTCGATGGGCAGTGGTGGGGTCAGGGTTTGCTGTATGGGAAGATAAGGGAAGCTCACCTGGTGTGTGACTGCTGGGGCAAGGCAATGGACTGTTAGTAGCTTCCTATTTTAATGAACTCTTGTGAACTAGATGCTCATCTCAGCTGTTTTTACAGTGATGAAGGCTTAGAAATGCTTTCAGTTCCCCCTGAATTCAGTGTGCCCAAGGGCAAAGTCATAGTTACTCAGCCTTAGTTATGGCTCTGTATGACACACACACAAATTAGCATGCTATGAAGCTGAATGTGATGAAGGCAAAGGAGAAGTCCAGACAAAATGCTAGGAGAAATGTGAGAGGAAAGGAATTATTTTTACCCAGAAGGGAGTAGGCAGCAGAGAAGGTTTCATGAAGGAGATGGCGTATCAACTGTTTTGGATCTTGAAAGAAGATAGACTTCAACTTCAACAGACAGAGATGAGGGGAGAGAAGTCTATTCCAAGCATGGGAGATGGTGTTTGCAACAGAATGGAGGCCAGCAGGATATGAACAAGAGATGCAGTGAGTGAGAGGGAGAAGTACAAAATAATGATGGACAGGTAGGTTAGAAGCAGATTGTGAAAGACCTTGAATACCAGAGTCAGGTTATATTCTATTCAATAGGCACTGGGTAGCCAGTGAAGATTTCTGGGCACAAGAGTAGCATAACCACAGCCATGCACTAGAAAAATTGTTCAGGTATCATCAGTGTGAAGGATGTACTGAAGAGAGTAGAATGAAAGCAGGAAGAACCAGCTATACTATATACTACTATACTATACTACACTACACTGTACTATATTATACTATACCATACTATACTTTGCTGTACTATACTATACTATACTATACTATACTATACTATACTATACTATACTATACTATACTATCTATACTATACCATACCGTACTGTACTGTACTATACACCTCTAAGGTCACGAGACCTGCTGGTAGAGTTGATGATATCTAGGATCTCTTTCGACCAGAAGGATCCCTGCTAGCAAATGTTTAGCAACTGGCTCTGTAGAAAAAAATAAATACACAACACACTTTTAACTTTAATCTGCACCATTATCATTTTTTCCATCACTCTTCTAAGTCTAGACAATCAACAAAACAATAAATCAATCACTGATTTGTATCATTTGACAATTTCCAAGAATGCTCACACTGAAAATTTAACAATCAGCTTTTAGGAACCTGTGTGAGCTAGCCCCAGCACGTACCTACTTTCAATTCACCATTCTACGAGTCTGTGAATCATGAGTGTCTGTGGGTCATGTCATAGAGGCAGCATGGAGCAGTGGATAGAGAGCTAGCCTCAAAGCCAAGAAGGGCTGGGTTCAAGTCCCACTTCTGTCAATTACTGATCGTGTAATCCTGAGCAAATCATTTAACCTCTTGGCTTTCTAGGCAACTCTCTAAGTCACTTGAGTCTGCAGAGGTGTCACAGCCTGTCTAGGTACAGGGAGTTTCGTCACTTAGGAGTTGCTTATACCAATGAAATCATAGGTTCCTCATCTTGACAGACCTTCAATAACTTCCATCAATAGAAAGGGGAGAATGGTAGGTACACCCCATGTACAATGTACACCCTAGCAGAGTGAACCCCAAAGTAGAGCTGCCCCAGCAGGAGTGGTGTGGGAAAGGAGGCAGCAATCATCTTTCCACTCCCTGTTCTTCACACCCTGGCCCATCCCAAAACTACAGACAGGATTAAAGCCGAAGTTTGCATCTCCACAGACTCCTGTGCCAGGGGATGGTGTGGCTGCTGGCAGGCTCAAAGTGGAGAAGCAGGAAAGGAGCAAAGCATGCTCTGCCTTCATCCACAAGCTTCCAGTTGTCTAAGGATACAGTTCCTCGGTGATGACTAATAGGAACTGGTGAAGATGCTTTGGAGCAAGACTGACAGGTTCTGTGATTGTGATTCAGCCAAGGCCAGAATGTGAATTACTCCATTTACCTCTGAGGATCATAGAACATTCATGACATAGGATGACACTAGAAGGCACTTTAAAACACAGAACACAGAATGTCAGTGCTGAGAAAGACCTTAGAAGATGGAATGTAAAACATTGCCCCTGAGAAGGCCCTTCAGACCTAAAACATAGGGCTGAAAGTCACCTTAGAACATGAAAGATAAAACAATAAAACTGGAAGCAAAGTGAATGTCCATCATTGGCGAGTGAGGGAACACATTGTGCTATAGAAATAAATGCAATACTGTCGTGCTGTGTGTCTTCTACATGGGGGAAACCAAGCGGACGAAGAAAGCCTATGGCCCAGACCAGAATGGTGTTGAATGTGCAGCCCAAAGACTTGGTCCTTCAGGAGTTGCATGGGCAAACACAGCACCCAACATATCACTTCATGGGACAAATATCACATGTCATAGAGTGAACACACTATATCATGACAGATGTATGTAACATGCTAAGTCATGTGGAAAAAACAAACTAAAAAAAACGAGCTAGGCCCAGGGTCGACCAGGAAGAGGAGAGTGGATTTGATCTCAGGATCTTGAACTAGGAGAAACCTCAAAAGCCATCAATCCCAACCCCCTCATTATCCATTGGAGAAAATTGAGGCCCAAGGATGAGGCCCTCTGATTCCATAGTCAGGGCTCTTTCCTCTGTCCCACATTGGATTGCGTTTTGAGAAATTAAGCAATGCTTTTAATGATCATCTCCCCCCTCTAAGCTTCTGCCTGAAACAAAGGCCCATCCTTTCAAAAATATAAGTATTCTTCCAATGGTTTTATATTGCTGCTACTCATGAAATACCAGAGTCTCTGAAGAATTTAAGCTGAAGGTCACCCAAAAGGCAAATGGGGAGATGGTGGGCGTAAGCAGGCTGCAACACATTACCAATGAAGGATTGCATAGGAGAAAAGATATCAGAGAGACAATAGTAAAGGATGTCATTAAAGAGGTATGTGCCTAGAAAAAGAGAAGGGCCAGTCATTTGGCAAGAACAAAGAACAACCTAATAGAGAATCCATTTATTCTACTGGGATCTACACAATGTCAAAGGAATGAGAGGAAGACCCCTAGTTAATAAAGTGGACCTCTTGTTGAGGGAGGATTTACAGACAGATATGGATGAGAGTCACACAGGATGGGCACACAGTGATTTGTGTCACTGAAGGGAGCACCCCTATCCATGAGATCACAGATTTGTTGAAGTGTCACAAAAGAAATGGTGGGCATAAGGAATGCAGGCTTGTAAGAACTAATAAATATAAAGCAAAGAAAGTGGAACAGGAAAATAATATCCACAATGACTACAATAATATAAAGATGCAGAATTAAATACATCAGAAATCCCATTAGCTGCAATGATCCTATGACCAGTTTTGTTTCCAGAGGACTAACAATGAAATAAATTTCTCTCCTCTTCATAGAAATGTGGTAGGCAATGGGCACAGGATGTGTTCACTCAGACACAGTTGTTTGGTTTTACTTTATAAGTTTCTGTTTGTTATGAAAAAAAGGAAGGGAGGATTCTCTTTGGTATAAAAAAAACCACATCAATGAAACATTTTTAAAGGAAAGAGGAAAAATACTCAAAATACCAGATTTGGAAAGGTCTTTAGGACATGGAACACGGAATGTCTCAGCAGGAATGGAGCTTAGAACACAGATTACATAATATTAGGGTTAAAATAGAACTTGAAGATCACTAGTGTAATTCCCTCATTTTATAACGGGGAAATTGAGGCCCAGAGAGAGGAAAGGACACACTGCTCTAAACTGTTGGAATTGCTCACCCTATACCTGGCTTCTAAAAGCCATGTTTTCATGGAACCATCAGCTGGGAATGCCTTAGGATATAGACCATAATAGATGTGTGCCGAAAGGGAGTTTAGAACATAAAATGTCATTTATCTTAGAATGGAGAAGATGACCTAGAGACCATTTAGTTCAAACCAGTGGCTAGATGGTGCAGTGGATAGAGGGCTGGACCTGGAGTCAGCAAGACTCATCTTCCCGAGTTCAAATCTAACCTAGTGTGACCCTGGGCATTTAGCCCTGTTTGCCTCAGTTTCCTCCTCTGTAAAATGAGCTGGAGAAGGAAATGACAAACTATTCCAGTATCTTTGCCAAGAAAACCCCACATGGGGTCACAGAGAGTCAGATATAACTCAAAAATGACTAAACAAGAAGTCAAAACTCTTAATTTTACAGATGAGGAAACTGAGGCCCAGAGAAGGGAAAAAATTTGCTGAGGGTTACACAAGCTACAGGCAAAGCCAGGACTGGAAGACAACAGTTCCCTTACAGTTTGTCTAAGAGCTCATCCAATGGAGGGTGAAATTGTCTTTTGTTTATCCCTCCCCCCACACAACATAGCTCAGAAAAGGGCTCCACAGAGCATTCCATCTCTATATATCATTCCATCTGGTTGGCACCTATAGTGTTAACTTTCTCCTTGGCACAGATTGGGCCTTAGGAGAGCTGGAAGCCTCTAGTGGAGACAAGGTATTATTTCTGACTGAGACTGTTTCCTATTCCTAAAAAAAAAGTGGAAAATGCAGCCCAAACTCCAGGGCTAACTTATTGACAAAGGCAGCAAGTGTTGCCAGCAGTGGGTAAATCCAAGCTGTCAGCCGAAGCTGGAACCTTGGGAGGAAAGGGCCCCCACCCCCTGCCCCAGCCCAGGCCTCTGACACATCTGGGCAGTGAACTCAGTTTCCAGGCCTGGGTGTGGTGAGTAGTGAAAGCCAAATCTATTTTAGGGCCTGTGGTCTGTGGCTGGCTTGTCACTTTCCCTTTCTTGCCTTGGGAATCAAGAAGCAAATCCCCAGACACGGGACGATAATATCTGCTCCCCAAGCAGGGGAAAAAAAGAGTCAAAAAAGAGAATTGTCCACAGCTTGGCCTCACCCACCTCCCTCTCCCTTCTGTTAGACGTAAAAGGGCCTTTACAGAGCTTCTAGTCCAGCTTCTCTCGATTTACAAATAAGGAAACTGAGGCCCAAACAAGTAAATTGACTTGCCCAAGGTCACAGAGCAAGTCAGTAGCAGAACCAGGATTCAAACTCAGGTCTCCCAATTCTGGTCCAAAATGTTTTGCACAGTGAGGAGACAGGAAGCCCGAGGCTCAGGGGAGAGGAGGTTTCTTTTGTCAACGTTCAACATATCACACTTGGAACATGGGGAATATTTTTGTTAACCTCTTTAAGGGGCTGTCTGGCGAAAAAAAAAAAGAAAAAGAAATTCGGGTTCTAATGGTTGGTCTGGATGCTGCAAGAAAGACAATTATTTTGTACGTACTGAAGCTGTATGAAATAGTAACTACTCTTTGCACTAGAAGTTTCTATGTAGAAACTGCAGGATACAAAAACATTAGCTTCACGGTGTGGGATGTAGGTGGCCAGGACCAGATCTGATCCCTATGGAGGCATTACTTCCAGAACACACAAGGACTGATTTTTGTGGTTGACAGTAATGAGAGTTTGCGCTTATATTTGTGCTCACATGGATACTTATTAGGGAAAAAAGCTTTGAGGCTTTGGTTCAGAGCAAGTTGCACATTGAAAGCATTAGATCTTTAATCAGAAACCGTTTATAACTAGACTTTTCCCCCCATGCAGTTTGGGTCAGGTTGTGATAAGTTCTCCATCACTCTTGAATAACTCTTGGGAAGAACACAATGATGGCTGGTTATAAACATTGAGAAGAGCTTTCTGACATATTTGGACAATAAAAACCAGCCTTTTAATTTTGGTCAAGTGTGTAGTGTGTCTGTTTGAAACCTCTCCACAGTAAGCACAGCCTACATTAGCCCCAAAGCTTGGCTGGAGATATTTTAAAACACAGTAAAAAACACCAGGCATTTCTCTGCGGTGTCTAGGTTTTAAAGAAAATAAAGTGGGCATGAGAACTTGGACAGCATTCCCATTCTAGAAGTATTCAGTCCCGTTTTGGAACAATCTCCCTATCTGCATATGTGTGAAAAGTTCTTTACTACCCCTCATTACTACAGGGGTCAGACTTATCATATAAAAAAAAATCTTTACTTTTTTTTCTTTTGTATTTTGGTAAACACCGAAGAAGCTGGAACTGTTAAACTTTATCTCTGAAAAAACTCAGAACTGGTTTGTTTGGTGCTGTGGAAACTCTTACTGCTTTCAATACACACTTAGTAATCGACTGTTTTGTATACTTGTTTTAAGTTTTCATTTCAACAAACGAGCACTGTAATTCAAGCTATTAGAAGAAAATCTCTGAACTGCTAACAAAATGCTTTCCCCAACACTCCCTGGTGTAAACCCTCTGCTTTCAGTGGTTTTTAGTGTATAGTCCTCTCAATGTACCACTCTTGTGACTCTGGTTACTATCTGTTGCACTCTCCAACCTAGAATATCCCCTCTTTTTTTTTTTTGCCTACTCATCTTGATTCAGAGCTCAGTTCAATCCCACCACCACTAGGAAGCCTTCCTAGATTCCCCTCAACCTTAGGGATTACTACCCTCTCTGACTGCTACACTTAATGTCAGTGTCGGACAGTTTGGCCCAGAATTCTCAATATCATGTCTGTTCATCTTGAATCCCCACCCCTACCCCAGGGCAGAATACAAAGCTGGGTAGAGCAGGGGCTCTGTGAATAATAATAATAACTCACATATATAACTAAGAGTATATAACTGAAGAGTATTTTTCATACATAATCTCACTGGAATCTCAGAGCAGCAACCCTATGAAGTAGGTACTATTATTAATCCACTTTACAAAAGATAAAACTGAGGGTCAGGGAGATTCAGTGACTTGTCCTGGGTCATACAGCTAGTTAAGTGCCTGCCGTAGGATTTAAACCCAGAGCCCACATCCAGAACTCTATCCACTATGCCACACTGCTTCCTGTATTGTGGATTAGGTAGAAAAAAAAAACAACTATGAACTACCTGGTTTTAAGACTCATTGATAATCTGAATGTCTTCAGCTAAAACACAAAGACCTCTGTTGGAATCTCAGCCCTGCCACCCTACCTGGGGCAAATAACTTGGGACTCAATTTTCTTATCTGTGCAATTATATTTATCAGACTGGCACTACCTACTTCCCATGACTGTTATGAAAAGAGTGCTTTGTGAGCTATACTATATTACTGAAATGTGAGTTATTATTATCACAACAGGAGTTTTGAAGGAAAAGATCTGGACATACACAATCAGCTCTCAATTTCCCATGCTAAGGACGCTAAAGACGTACATAACTCAAAACAGGAAAATATGCAAAAATATGTTTCAAACCAAGTAGAAATAAAACTTGTCACTAGTATATCTTCTCAGTAGACTAGTATCTCCCGTAGACTAGTATCAGATGGAGGCAGGACAGCTGCAGCCTCAAGACCACATGTGGCCCTCTAGTCCTTAAGTGAGGCCCTTTGACTGATTCCAAACTTCACAGAACAATTCAGTGTACAAGTCTGTGATTTGGATTCAGTCAAAGGGCTGTACTTAAGGACCTAGAGGGCCACATGTGGCCTCGAGGCCATAGGTTCCCCACCCCTGGTTTATACTCTCCCACATAACAGTGGAAAGGGCTCCCCAGGAAGGAGTTGGGTAACAGGAGGAGTTTATACTTTGCCACTGAACAATCCACCAATAGATAACAAGGGCTAACTTGTTTGTTAATGGGAACATGGGTAACAATGGGGTGTGACTGGCCCATAGGGAATGGAGGCACTCAGAAGGGTGAAGGAGGTGTACTCTGTTGCATCATGTAAAAGAGATCTGGGTCCCTGAGACATCCCTGGAGAGATTTTGGCCAAGCCAGCAGGCACCTTTGAAAATCTGGAATAAAAAGTTTGTTGAATTGCTGAAGCCAAGTAGGATAAGATAACACACATGAAAGTTACAGGTTCAACTTAATCTCTTTCAGAGATCAGAGGAGAGTACATTTAGAGCTGGAAGGAATCATAGAAATCATTCAATCCAAACTTCTCATTTGTTTCTTTTTAACAGATGGGAATACAGATTGTCATAGTTGGAGGAACTACAAGGAAGTTGAACATAGGAAGGTCAAGGCTGGAAGGGACCTTAGAACACAGACTGTCAGAGATGGAGGGGACCTTCGAGAGCATTTAGGTCAGCCTTCTCATTCTATAACTGAAGAAACTGAGGCCTAGAGAAGGTAAAGGACCTGCACAGAGCAACCTAAGTGTCAGAACCAAGCCTAGAACCTAGATCTTCTGACTCCTGGTCTGTTGTTCTCTGCATTCTGGTTTTCTGAGGCCTGGTGTCTCAGCCCCAGCAGGTGCCTCCTCTGCCATGCCTGGCAGCCCCTGAAATGCCTATCCATTCCTGACCTGCCGGAAGAGGCTTTGCTTTGCCTGGGATACCAAGAAATGGAATCTCATATTTTCTTTCTACTTGGAGCTCCCCAAGCATTTGTAACTCCTGAGGAATTTTTGGTTGACAGAACAGCAAAGGACCTTGGAGATCATTTAGCTCACTCCCCCCCCCCATTTTACAGATGAGGAAACTTGAGTCCTTCCTACAAAGTTCTCTCCAATGATCAAAGTCACACAGACATTAAGAAAATAGAATTTGAGGCTAGGTCCTCCCCACTCCTGATCGGGGCCTCTCTCCACTTCACCAGACTTAATGCCAGGAGTCTCCCTAAAGGCTGCAGGTGTGCGGATTGGGGTTCTCCAGCCGTGGTCTCCTTTCCTCGGGGCGCATGGTTCCCCTTTCCTAGGGATACAGGGTTCGCTGAAGGCCACGATCCTAGTCAGCGCCCCCGTCCCCGTACTAAAAGGCTGAACCATTCGGGGAACTCTAAGCATCTTCCTCTTAGGGGACAATTCTGGCTTCAGTGACTGGGTATCCCACATCAGACCTGGTTTCCCCGGATCCCGGGCTCCGTGGTGCGGAGCAGGAACCTCGCGGGAGGAGCAAGGGTGGCGGGGAAGAGCAGTTGGGACAGGGGTGCGGGAAGGAGTCTATAGACGTCTTTGGGTCGGCCCACTCACCGCATTCGCCGGCGGGACAGGAGCAGCAGCAGAAGCAGCGCGAGCAGCAGCGCGGCCAGAAAGAACCACGGCATGGCTGGGATGGGACGAAGACAGAGACCCTGGCTGCAGGTGAGAGCTTGGGCTGCGGCAGCCCAGAGCCTCTTATGCCCGCTCCTTCTCCCGGACCCTCCCCTCTCTCCCCGAGATTGTCGGCCCCGCGCCACGCACCGCCCCCTCCCCGCCCCAAGGAGGTGTGTGCCTCCGAGGGGCCCGGGACGCCAGGGTTTCCTTCCCGAACCAGGCCCCAGCCCCTAGCCCACTGGGAGGGGCTGGACAGTCCAGCTCAATTCCGCAAACATTTATCAAGCCCCTACAGTGTGCCCGGTTCGGCGCTTATAGCATTACACAAGCGATTACACAAAGACACTACAATTCCTGCCTTCAAAGAGCTTACTAATAGCGTTAAAGCCACTTAATGCCTCGATTTCCTCATTTCCAAAATAGGTTTTAGAGATGGTCCTTGGAGGAAAGGGTAAGATTTGGAGGTGGGGCTTTTAAGAGACTTCCATTCTCATCCCATTTCCTTGGAAGCAAGAAACCCCTTTGCTCATTAAAGCAGCCCCACTCCCCACCCGCAGCAGTCTCCAGTTTTACGATGGCCTTCCATCCCCAAGTAAAAGCTAGGATCCAGCTGCCCTTCCAGCCTACAAAAGAAAGTGCATTTGCTACAGTAATGTGAGCTTTTATCTACCCCCCCAACACACACACCCCTGCTGTCGTCAGCAAAAAAACAAACCAAAAAAAAAAAACCACAGGGGAAAGAGTAATGGACTTGAGGTCGAGAGAACATTGTTTGCATCACAGCTCCCAAACTTAATAGGTGGGTTACATAGTCGGTCTAAATATTTATTAAGTGCTCCATATATTCCAGGTGCTGTGCTAAGCGCTGGGAATACAAATATAAGGAAAAAGAAAGATAGCACCTGCCCTCAAGGAGCTTACGTTCTAATGCAGGAAGAGTCCAGATTGCAGCCTGGTAAGAAATGAAGCGATATGTGACCGCAGACAAGCCATTTAACTCTCCTCAGTCACCTCTGTAAAGGGCATAACTCTTGTATTGCCAGCTTCACAGGGTCACTTAAGCCGAAGGTGCTATATAACCAACAATCTGAATAGTAGTGAGCTCTCATTCTATTTTACCTCATCTTCCAGCAGCCCAAGCCACACCTCCTTCAGGCACTTGGCACACTGTTCTAGCCTAATTGACCTGCTTGTTGAACTCCAAACTCAGCATTCCACTCCTGCCTCCTTGCATGTATAGAGACTCCTTCTAAACCTGGGATGCCCTGGAATGCACTGCCTCTTCTCCTCTGTAACTCAGCATCCTTTGCTTCCTTTGGGCCTTGTACTTAGGATTCCTGGCTGTAAGTTTACTCTCTATGCTACCTATGTTTACATTTGCTTTTTTTTTTTGCCACCTTATCACAATATTTACTCATATTGAGCCCGAAAGTTCAGTAAAGCCCCCAGATCTTTTTCACATGAGCTGTTCTCTAGTTACACTTCCCATACTTAATTTCTGCAGTTGATTGTTTGAACCAAAATGTAGGACTTTACATCTGTCCACACTAGATCTAATCTTATTAGATTTTATCCATCATCCTCCCCTGTTAAAATAATTTGTGATCTTGACTCTTTCAATCAGTGGGTTAGCTATCACCTTCAGCTTCGTGTCAACTGCAAATTGTCTAGGCATGCCCTTTATGCCTTAATGTAAGTCATAAGTACAAATGTTCAATAGCACAGAGGCAAAGATCAATCACTTTGGTATCCTGCTATACTAACTACTCAGTGTGACATCGACATTTCAATAAGTTCTCTCTAGGTCCAGGAATTCAGCTATCTCTGAATTCACCTAACTATTCTAACTTACATCTGGTTTACATCTCTCCATCTTGTCCACAAAGATAACATGAAAGATTTTATCAGCTACTTTGCTGAAATCTAGAAATGTAATTGTGTACAGATCTACCTGTCTAGTTAACTAGGTATTATTAAGCTTTGTTGTTTCTGTACTGCTGAAAGACAGCAAGTTCTGTCAATACCCTCTAAATTTTGCATCCTTGGTCAAATATCCGGTTGTCTTAGGCTACTTACAGTTTTGAGGCAATTAGCTGGCACAGTGGATAGAACACTGGGCTTGGAGTCAGGAACACTTGAGTTCAAATCTGGCTTCAGTTGTGTGACTCTGGGCAAGTCACTTAACTTCTGTTTGCCTCAGTTTCTTCCCTTATAAAATGGAGATAATAACAGCATCTACCTTGCAGGATTGTTGTGAAGATCAAATGAGATAATATTTGTAAAACACTTAGCACATAGTAGGCACTTAATACATTCTTACTCTCTTTCCCTTCCCCCTTGGTGCCTTGCCCTGGTCAGACCACATCTGGAACTCTCTGTTCAGTTCTAGGTGTCATACTTTAAGAATGAAGTTGATGAAGTGAGACAAACATGAGGCGACAGGCCTGGAGAACATACCATATGAGGACTGTTTAAAGGAATTAGGATTATTTATCCTAGACAAGAAAATACTTAAGGGGGGAGGGAGAGTAATAATAGTTTTCAAAGAATTTGAAGAGTTATGATACTTATTCTCCTTGGCCCAGAGGGCAGAACCAGGAGTTCTGGTGGAAGGTAAGAAGGGGAAATTTTAGGCTTTATGTTAAAGGAATGCCCCCCAAAACAAGCAGAGCTATCCAAAAATGGAAGGGACTGACATAAGAGCACTTGGCACCAGGAGAACACTGTACAGAGTAACAGCAATATTGTACAATGATCAGCTGTGAATGATTTAGCTATTCTCAGCAATACAGTGACCCAAGACAATTCCAAAGGACTTATGAGGAAAAATGCTATCCACATCAAAAGAAAGAACTGATGGAGTTTGAATGCAGATTGGAGCATACTTTTTTTTTTACTTTATTTTTCTTGAGGGTTTTTGGTCAGCATTTTCTTTTGCAACATGGCTAATATGTATGACTGCACATTTATACTCTATACCAAATTGCTTGCCTTCTTAGGGGGATGGAGAGGGAAGGAGGGAAAGAATTTGGAATTCAAAATTTAAAAAAATTAATGTTAGAAATTTTTGTTTACATATAATTGATAAAAAAAAATAACAATTAAATGTAAAAAAGAGCACGTGGCACAGTGCCTGGCACACAGTAGGCATTTAATAAATGTTTAGTGACTGGCTTACTGACAGACATGCCCCCTTCACTTCCTGACTGGTCTTCAAGCAAAGGTTGATTGACCACTTGTCATGTATCATATATATATATATATATATATATATATATATATATATATATATATATATACATATATATATATATATACATATATATATATATATGTATATATATATGTATATATATATATATACAGAGAGAGAGAGAGAGAGAGAGTCAAGATGTCAAGTGAGAAGAATCATTTTTCCTAGCTCATGCAGGAGCTCCTTCACAACAATCTAAAAAACATGCCAGACTGAATTCTGAGCAGGAAAGCCAAGAAAAGCTCACAAGGCATCATTTTTCTAACCCAGGACAGCTTAGGGAAACAGAGAGGTCTTTAAACATTGAGTATGGGGACTGACCAGGAGTAAGCACAGAGGCAGCAATGAGGAGCATTCTAGCACTTAGGGACCAAAAGAAGGATAAAACAGAATATCCAGGAAGGAAGCACCAGAGTAAAAAGAGATACCAAGGAATCCCCAGCCTAACACTGGGTGCAGAAATGGGTGCCATCTGGCTACCGTGGCGAGAGTCAGATCCAGGATGGAAAGGAGCAGTCCCTGAGTAAGTAGATCTTAGCTGAGAACTGAACAAGGAGCAAGCTGTGGAAATGATCCCAGGAGCAGAACTGAGACTCAGTTGTAGCTTTGAGTCCAGCACATAAGCCTGCAGTGGAATAATCAGGGCAAAAGTGTCTTAGACCAAAAAAGAGCCCGCAGCACATTTGCTCTGAATCTGTACACCTCCCAGTGGGCTAATAGTGACTAAGTCCAATAGTAGTATACCGAAACTCAACTACACAGAAAGTAATAGAACCAAACCTGGATCAGGAACCTGCAGATATCACACAAAGACAGCAGTGAACAGACTTCTGCCCAGATCATATCAATTTGGGAAGCATTGAAAATCTGCAGGCTCCCAAAGACACAGATTGAATTGTGAAAGTGGCAGAAGGCTGTAAAATGGCAGAAGCTCAGGTCAGAAATCTCTCTCAGAAGTACACAGAGCCTAACACCAGCATAAAGTTCAAAGTCAAGAAGTAGACTGGAAGAATGAGAAAACTCAAAAAGAACTCAGCCATAGTGGTGATAGGGAAGCGCAAGACAGAAATACAGAAGACAATGACTTGAAAACATCTATAAGCAAAACCTCAAAGAAAAATGCAGATTGTACACAAGCCCACAAGAACCCCTAGAAGAGTTTTTTTAAAAAAGTTTAAAATGAGGGGAAAATGATTATAAAAACCAAATGAGAGTGGTAGAGGGAAAAAGAAGGAAATCAAAAGAGAATTAACAGCTTGGTAAAAGAGATTCAGAACCTTGCTGAAGAAGGTAACTGCTTTAAAATTAAAATTGAACAAAAAATAAAAGCTAATGACTCTGTGAGACTTAAGAAATAATGAAGTCAAAAGATTTTTTAAGATAGAAGAATATCTGGAAATATAGGTAAAACAACTGACCTGAAAAATAGATCAAGAAGAGATTTTCTATTAATTTATTTATTTTAGTTTTCAACAATCACTTCCATAAGCTTTTGAGTTTTAAGTTTTTCTTTCCCTCCCTCCCCACCTCCTTCCCCAAGACGTGCAATTTGATAAAAGCTCTACATATACATTGCTGTTAAACATATTTTCACATTAGTCATGTTATAAGCAAGAATTAGAACCAATAGGAAGAACCACCAGAAAGAGGAAACAAAACAGAAGGGAAAAAAGAGCCAATAGTATGCTTGGATCTTCATTCAAACTCCATAGTTCTTTCTCTGGATGTGGATAGCATTAAGAAGAGATTATTTAAGAATCGTTGGACAACCTGAAAGCTATGAACAAAAAGAGAGCCTAGACATCATATTTCAAGAAATTATAAAAGAAAACTGTCCAGATATCTT